TTGGAGTAAGACCTACTCTGCCAATTAAGGGTGTATCATTATTGTTGGGAAATGATTTGGCTGGGGTTAATAAGCCGATCACTGTTTCATCTAAGGATGACATTGTTGTTGAGGAGAATTCCAATGTGTTTCCCTCGTGTGCTGTAACTCGAGCTCAGGCTAAGAAAGTAAGCCAAAAACAAATGATAGACATGGATTCAGAGGACGATGTTATAGATTTGTCTCAGACATATGGCTGAGTTCGTAAACCAAAAGAAATGATAGACATGGATTCAGAGGACGATGTTACAGATTTGTCTCAGACATATGGCTGAGTTCGTAAACCAAAACAAATGATAGACATGGATTCAGAGGATGATGTTACAGATTTGTCTCAGACATATGGCTGAGTTCGTAAACCAAAACAATTGATAGACATGGATTCAGAGGACGATGTTACAGATTTGTCTCAGACATATGGCTGAGTTCGTAAACCAAAACAAATGATAGGCCTATATACACATAATGGTAGAGGTGGCAAAAATTGTGAAGAGATTACAATCACATGATATAAAAATGTCAGCTGATTTTGATAAATGGAGAGAAAGAGGAGAGTGTCTTGGGTTAAAAGACAGTGAACTATGAGAATTTGTAAAACAACAGGAACAGAAGAGAGAGGAGGAGTGACAGAGAAGAGGAATAAAGACTAAAAGAAGAGAATGAAAGAAGAAATTGAGAGAAAGGAAAGACTGGAAATAGAAAGAGAGAAAGGATAAGAGCACAAATTGAGAAAGAAGAAAGGGAGAGAGAGGAGAGACTGCAAATAGTGAGAATAAGAGCACAAATTGAGATTGCCAAGCTCATCCAACAGAAAGATGAAAGACCCAAGGATGACAATGGGGTCAGGGCCAGCTTACCCAAGCTGCCCAAATTTGATGAACAAAAAAGATGACATAGATGCTTTTCTGGAAAAAAAATGATAGATTCATTCAAAGTCAGAACTGGGACAAAGGTGACTGGGTAGTCTTTCTCAGCCCACTTCTCACAGGAAAATGACTACAAGTATATGCAGGCATGACATCAGAAGATATCATGGACTATGACAAATTAAAAGTGTCATAGCTAAAACGATATGAGCTTACTGAAGAAGGTTTTCATTGGAAGTTCAGAGAAGTCAAACCTGGAGCTGGAGAAACTGTATTTCAGTTTGTAGCACATCAACTTCACCAGATGGACTGACATGGCAAAGTGTGAAAATAGTTGAGGGATTGGCAGATCTAATAATACACTAACAGCTTATGATCACATGCTCAACTGACATGTCAATGTTCTTTAAAGAGAGTGCACCAAATCACACGGATGAGATGATCAAGCAGGCAGAACATTATATGGAAGCTGATGGAGGGAATATAACTGGCAAGTCCAAGGATATCCAGTTAAAGTTTAAACCAGTGATAGATGATCAGGAGCAGTAGTCCACCAAAGGTGATGGAAGGTTAACAGATAGAAGGGATAAGAGATGCTATGTTTGTTATAAAATGGGGCACATTGCAAAAGCGTGCAAGTCCATTACCATTACCAGAAATCTCAACATAAAGCAGCCAAAGCTACTTACGAGGATAGTGGTAGGAAACAAGAAAAGAGTGACTGTCACCATGGATGATGCTGCCAGAAGAAACAGAATAAAAAATAACAGCAAATTCAGCACAAGAAAGTGTCATTTCCATGATTGCTCAGTGCATGACTAATGGTCAGTTGAAATTAGCCAATGGATCAACAGTGCCAGTAGTGATTATAAATATTGAGAGGATTCAACGATCATAACATGCCAATATGTGAAGGATATGTCAGGTACAAGAAAGTGAAAGTTCTACGAGATACTGGGTGCAGTAGTACAGCAGTGAGAACCAGTCTAGTTTCTGATGATCAGATGGCAGGCAAGGTATGCCCATGTGTGCTAACTGATGGGACAGTAAGAAACTTTCCCATAGCAAACATAAAGGTGGATACTCCATATTATTTAGCAGACCTTAAAGTCATATATATCAAGGCACCAATATATGACTTGGTGATTGGAAACAAATCAAGTAGTAGAAACTTGGAGAAACTAGACAAAAAGAAGATTGATGTGGTAACTGCAGTCACCACAAGAGCTCAATGAGAAAAAAGCAAGCAAGATATCAAGCCTCTTAAAGTGAAAAGTGACATCCCAAATATAGGTTCATGTGAGCGG